TATACATATATATATATATACGTATTTGTTTGTTTAAGGTAATTTTTCGTTTAGTAGGACCAAAGTATAAAGTTGTCCTGGGAGAGGAGTAGTCATATTTAGCCAATTTCTAAGGCACCCGTGGTTTTTTTTAAATGAACCTGGGTGATGTAGTAGTTAAGTATTTGGCTACTAACTGAAAGACTGGAGGTTTGAATCCACTATCTGCTCAGCAGGAGGAAAACATGGTCATTTCCTTCCTGTGATATTGTGAAAGTCTCATGGAATCATTTTCAACTCATAGCAGCCCTGTATGACTTTCTGAGGAGTGGCTGATACGCTTGAACCTCCAACCTTGTAATTCAAACCAACCTTCCAGTCCAACGCATAAACTCGCTTCCTAAAGGGAGGTCCTATAGGCTTGCAGTGAGCTAATATTGGCTTGATGGCAGCATCTTTTGTTTTTTTGTTTTGAAGCCAGTAGTTGGCACTACCTCCAGAAATGAAGGTTGGTTGTTCTATTTCCATGTGTCCTACCTTTCAGGGTCAAAGTTTCTTAATGCCATCTGTGCCTCCACTGGAAAAGAACTGGCTTCTGCTACTATTGCTTCTTGTTACCCTAGCCCATTGGTTGTAGTTTTCCGCATGTGTCATAACTTTCTAAGAAGAAGAGAAGAATGGTCCCTTTATTCTAAAGGGAACTTGTGCTTTTGAAACTGTGGTGCAATAAATGACTTTCTATGGCTTTTCTAGCCCAGTCTTCATAACTTCAGTGAAATGACTAGATAGAACTAACTATGCATATGAGGTGCTTATCCTACCAAGGTGACTGGATAACTTACTAATAATAATGTAAAGAAAGTACATGGCACCTTTGTGGAACCATGCAAATTAAGTGTGTAGAACCTTAATTAGAGGATTTGCCATCTCGCTAGACTTAAAAGAGCCAATTCCAGATTCAAGTGGAGATCCTTCTGACCATCAAGAAACAAGAAACAAGAGCCATGATTGGAGCACATCCTTTAGACCCGAGGTCCCTGAGCTGAGAACCTCGTAGACCTTAGAAGTGGCCATGGAGAAATGGAAGCATGCAGGAGACAGCATGGTGGGCTTTCTGGTTCATGGAGTGAGCAAAGCTAAGCACCTTCGGGCAGGAGGCTTGCTGGCAGAGTGGTGTACCTCTGGGCACTTGTGAGTGGAGCTCAGGCTTGCAGATCCATAGAGCCAAAGCTGGGCAGCTTTGGATCAAGGCTTCCTGGTGATGTTGGTGGCACCTCCAGGCTTAAAAGAACTTTGTGACAGTCAGGACACAGGCTGAGCCAGTCCATGACGCCCCTCAGGCGTCAACAACCTGAGAGAGGCCTGTTTGCAGCATGGCTGAGAAGAGGCTGTCTTGACTGAAGGACTATCCTGAGTCTTTCCTGACTCTGAACTGTAGACTCTTCTGTTCCAAATATGCCCCATAGCTGAATGGGGCATGTGAAGTGTCTATGTGGCATTGCAGAGTGTTATCAAACAAAGCAGAGTAATAAAGTGCCGCATGGGAGGGTCAGTGGATGTCAGAATTGGCAGATGGATGGATGCCAGATATTTGCCTCCTAAGAGTTAGCTTTCGGATGCTGATTTTGATTCTCCATCGTTCTTGTGAGGTTAGGCTAGAAGGTCTGATACTGCTGCCACAGGTTTTTTTTACAGGAACCGAATGCTTGGGTATTGAAATTATTTATAGTATACTCTTTCCACTTCCACCAGAAGATAGATGATGTGGGATTGCTATCATGCTGCGTCGCAACTTGACGTCAATAAAGAAGGTTTTATCTTGTTCTCTTGATAAACTGACACCATGTCAGCTAAACATCTAACAGAAAATGTGAACCTTTAACATTTAGATCATCAGCTAGCTGCCATTGAGTTGACTCATTGGCAACCTTGAGTACATCAGAATGAAGCATTGCCTGGCCCTGTGCCATCCTCAGCTGCCAGCGCGTTCAAGTCTGTCGTGGGAGCTATTGTGCCAGTCCCACTCACTGAGGATCTATTCTACTGCACATGGTATCCGCACCCCCTCCCCCCAGCAATTTACCCCTCCTGATTGTTTGTGTAGAGCAATGAGTCAGACAGTGTTCTGTTGTAATTCATAAGGTTTCAAATTGACCTAATTTTTGAAAGCAGATCACCAGGCTTTTATTCCTAGTCTTGGGAAGCTCTACTGAAACCTGTCCACCATGGGTGACCCTGCTGGTATTTGGAACACTGGTAGCATAGTTTCTAGTATCACAGCAACACACGAGCTGCCGTAGTACAACAAACTGAAAGACTGGGGTGGTTAATTAACATTAGACTTTTAATAAAGACATGTATTTAATTTTTAAAACATAGCAAGCAAGCAGTTGATTATGGTGGTTATGTGATGTGGAGTTGGTTCCGACTCATAGTGACTCTGCATAGGGTTTCCGAGGCTGTAAGTCTTTTATAGTTGTTGCTAGATGCCATCGAGTCAGTACCGGCTCATAGCAACCCTATGCACAACAGAAAGAAACACAGGCCAATCCTGGGCCAACCTCAATTGTTGCCACGCTTGAGCCCATTGATGCTTCTCCCACAGAACAGATGGTAGTTTCGAACTTCTAACTGTGAAATTAGCAGCTCACTTGTAACTACTACACTACCAGAGCTCCTTAGCAAGCAAGCAATGCATGAGAAATGCATGATACCAGTTTCAGGCACTCATCTGAGAAAGCATTTTGTTTTAATTCCTAAAGTTGGGACACATCATTTTATTGAATTTGTTGTATGGACCACACTGAATGAAAATTTCATGCCATTTTTAAAACCTTGATAAATATATGTAGGCATGCATGTCATTGCTGTGTTTACATCTTAGCCTGGTAGCCAATGTTGGAACAAGAGGAGCACACATTTTACTTTGAAAACTCAAGAGACCAAGTTGAGGGCATTAAACACACAGTGTTCTGTCTCTATTAGCTTCTACACTATTTTTTTAAAAGCCAGGTCAGGTATTTTCCACCACTCTGTCTTAGCAAAAAAGTATTGCTTATAAGGTAAGGCATTTTCTTTCACTTTAAAACCATAGACCTTCAGCAACATGTGTATGTGTCTGTTTTTTTGTGTTTTCTTTAAACTGCCTTCATGGTGTCTTGGTTTTTTGGTTTTTTTTTTTTAGTTTTTATTGTGAATCAAGTGAAAGTTTACAGGGCAGATCATCAGTTTTACATTCAACATATCATGCTTTGTTTCATTACAATGATTATAATCCCCACCATGTACCGTCAGTTAACAGTATTTCTCTCTATTCATTTTTTTTCTTTTTTTAAAACACTCAGGCATATATAATAATTTATACCACCAAAGGGCACATTCTGCAAGCCTGCCTCCTGGCCGACAGCTCTCAGTCCCTCTCTTCCCATGAATCTAGAGTCCTCAGCGGCTCCCTCTCTCCATGTTGCCATCTCTGCCTCCATCTCTGGTGTTGCTGCTTCTCTGGATAGGGTCTTGTATTCCGCTTGTGCTCTTCTCCCTTGATCGTCCTAGGGTACTCTGTACTGTAGGATTAACTACTCCCCCATTTTGTTACAAAATATCTATCTTTACAATTGTGACAATCGCAATTAGTCATGATAACAATTACTATTGAATCGTAAGAATCTTATCCCCAACACTTCTCACCAGATGCATCTAGACAGAATGAAAACTATTCAGTGGGGACTCTATCTTCCCCCACACACTCTTAAACTGCCTCTTGAAACCTTGTAAGCCAGTCACTTCATGCCTGTATTTCCCCCTCATTTTAGGTAGCTGATGTCTAAGTTGCCCGTCCCTATCTACCCTGTACATGGTGTCTTGTTTTAAAGAACTGGTTTCATATTTTATTTTGAAAGGTTTCAAATCTGCTTACACCAAAAACCCACTGTCATCAATTCAATCCTGACTCGGAATAGCCCTATGTTGTTATGTGCTGTGGAGTCGGTTCTGACTCATAGTGACCCGGTACAGGGTTTCTGAGGCTGTAAATCTTTACAGGAGCAGAAAGCCTCATCTTTCTCCTGTGGAAGAGCTGGTAGTTTTGAACTGCTGACCTTGTGGTTTGCAGCCCGATTCGTAACCATTATGCAACCAGAGAGGATTTCTGAGACTAAATTTTCAGGGGAGCAGACAGCCTCATCTTTTTCCCATGGAACAGATGGGTTAGCAGCTACGAACCACCAACATCTGGATTAGCAGCCCAACAC